GTGACGGGGCCCAGGGCTCATTTGGGCAATGCCAAGGGGGCTGGAACCCTGGGGAGGGGCTGGAACCCTGGGGAGGGGCTGGGACAGTGGAGAAGATATGGGCGAGCAGGTGGGTACTGGAAACCGAGCTGGGTGAGGAGTTTGAACTCAGGGAGGCAGCGAGTCCACGAGAAACCAGGCAGGAGGCTGCGGTCACATCAGGGCAGGTGCCCTGGGAGTGGGCCATGGAGGACGGAATGAGAGAGAGTGTGGAGGAAAGTGGGAAGGATGTGGGAAGGCCACTGTTGGCTGGGGAAGCACAGGAGGGGCCGAGGCCACAGGCTCCCAGGGAACTGCCCAGCGGCCGGGGGCAGGGACGGGAGCTCCCTGCTCTCCCTCCAACAAAAGAGATGAGCCGAGGAGGCTGGCGTGGAGGGGCCCGCAGAGTCCAGCTCCCCAGGCCTAGGGCCAGCCATGCCTGGGCTCAACCCCCTGAGCCTCAGCCTTTTCATCAATGAAATGGGTGTCCTTGCTGGGAGGATTAGGTGTAGCACTGTGTGTTGAGCACGTGGGACTCCACAAGTCCTGCCCGCCTGCCCTGCTGGAGAGGAGTGACCTTCTGGTCCTGGAGTTCCTGGGAAGGACGGAGAGGGAGAATGACGGGTGCCCACTCCAGGATCCCCAGACTCTGGGAGGGAAGACCCAGCCTCCAAGGGGTCGGGCCCACCAGCTGGAATGCTGGGAAGCATGGCAGGGTGGGGGCGGGGAGGTCTGCAAAGTCTCCCTCCCTTCTTCCCTTCCTTCCATTAATTAGTAAAGCAATGCATGCTTGTTACAGAAAAGTGAGAAGATGCAGATCATCAAAATGCAGGGAATTTTAAATGCCCACAGTTCCATCCACCCAGAGAGAACCACGTTAGCTCGTTGGCCCGTATCTCTGCATCCCAAACTCTTTCATTCTTTCCCCCATCCTAGCCTTTTCTAGGCATCCTTACAAATACACGAAAATACATGTAGGGCCTTTAAGAGAGCATGTCAGGGTTTTTTTGTTCTTCCAATTTTGAAGGTTCTGGTATATATATTTACTTTTTATAAACAGCTTTATGGAGATATAATTCACATACTGTATAGTCACCTGTTTAAAGTGTACAATTTAATAGTTTTTATATATTACATTTACAGTTTTTTAAATTGTGGTAAAATATATATAACATTAATATGTTCCATCTTAACCGTTTTTAAATGTGCAATTCAGTGGCATTAATTACATTCACAGTGTTTTGCAACCATCACCACTTCTATTTCCAAAACTTTATCACCTCAAGTAGAAACTCCGTACCCATAAAACAACTCCCCCTTACCCTCCTCCCCCCAGTTCCCAGTAACCTCTAAAATGCTTCCTGTCTCTAGGAATTTGGCTATTCTAGGTGCTTCCTATAAGTGGAATCATACAGTATTTGCCCTTTGGTGTCTGGCTTATTTCATTTAGTATAATGTCTTCAAGGTTGATTCATGGCATAGTACGTGCCCTAACTTCATTCCTTTTCACGGTTGAATAATTTTCTACTGTGTACATGTAGATCACATCTTGTTTATGCAGTTATCAGTTGATGGACATTTGGGTCGTTTCCATCTTTTGGTTATTGTGCCTAATGCTGATATGAATGTTGGCTTACAAATGTTTGTTCTAGTTCCTGCTTTCAATTCCTTTGGGTATTTAGAGAGTACATTGTTTTGTAACCATCTTTTCTCACTGATGTATTAAGATCACTTTTCGTATCAGTGTATGTATTTCTGAAGGCCTGCCTAGTACTCCATGGCATGGTGTAACAGGTCAATAACAGATTCTCTAGTATACACAGACAGACACCTTAAAGTTTTCCTCATGGGTTCATCTTTATGCTTATAATTTATTTGTTGATTTTCTTAAAACTTATTTATTTATTTATTATTTATTTAATTGAAGAAATTATTTAATTTTTCCCCCGTCTACCTCCCCCTTCCCCCATCCCCTCCATGAGTTGTTATTGAGTTTGTTTGTCCTGCTCATTTGTTGCTTTTAGGTTTATATCCCACATATAAGTGATATCATGTGATTTTTCAACTTTTTCTCTTTGGCTTATTTCGCTTAGTATGATTATTTCAGGGTCCATCCATGTTGTCGCAAATGGCAGTATTTCATCTCTTCTTATGGCTAAGTGATATTCCATTGTACATATGTACCACAGCTGCTTTATCCAGTCATCTATCATAGGACACTTTGGTTGCTTCCATGTCCTGGCCACCGTGAATAATGCTGCTATGAACATCAGTGTGCAAATATCTTTTCAGATATGAGTTTTCAAGTCTTTGAGGTAAATAGCCAGTAGAGGGATTGCTGGATCATATGGTAGGTCAATTCTTAGTTTTTTGAGGAACCTCCATACTGTTTTCCATAGTGGCTGTACCAATTTGCAGTCCCACCAGCAGCGTATGAGGGTTCCTATTTCTCCGCATCCTCTCCAGCACTTGTTATTACTTGTCCTGTTGATAACAACTCTTTTAACAGGTGTGAGATGGTATCTCTTTGTGGTTTTGATTTGCATTTTCTTAATAGCTAGCGATGTTGAGCATCTTTTCATATATTTGTTGGCCATCTGTATGTCCTCTAGGGAGAAGTGTCTGTTCAGGTCCTCTGCCCGTTTTTTGTTTGGAGCATTTGTTTTTTTGTTGTTATTGAGTTGTATGAGTTCTTTGTATATTCTGGATATTAGGCCCTTATCGGAGGTGTTGCTTGCAATATGCCTATAATTAAACATATATTTTTTAAATTGTCCATTAACGTGAAGGCAATCCCCTTGTAAAAGATTTAAACATTACAGATAAGATTGATGTCTTCCTTGACCACCCCCAGAACCCAGACCTGCCCCCTCTCACACCAAATAAGTCCTGTCACGTCATTACGGATTTGGCAAGCACACCGAGGCCTTAGTCCAAGCATTTACGTAGTAGGCCTTCACAAAGTACATGGTGTCATTCGGTGACTTTCTGTCTAGGGCTTGTTTTTCAGATTCTCGTTTTCTTATGTTTTTGCTTATGTCAGTAGTGTCACACGGAATGGATTTGTCTGCAGCTGGGTTCTGTCACTCAGCACTATGTTCCCACTTGAACCTTCCATCTTTTCTAATCAGGATGAATTCCAGTGAGGGGAACTGCTGGGCAAAGGGCATGCTCAGGCTGTTCCAAAGCCTTAGCCAGCCCCGGGGAGCCTGGGAGGTGGGTCCTGGTTCTGGGCAGCCAGCAGCACGCGCCAGCACCCCTGGGGCACCTCACAAGCCTGGCTGCCGTGCTAGGTGCTAACCGTGCGTGCCCAGTGCCTGTACCGGGGCATAACCTCCAAGGGTGAAGAAAACTTTGGCTTAGGCCAAAGGCTAGATCCGATTTCTCATGGTTGGAGATCCCCAGAGTCAAGCACTGAGTTCATCCTTTCCTCAGTGTTAGGCACATAGTACTGATCATGTAAAACCCTTCTCCTGTTTGATATATTAGTCGGTCAGTTTAAGCTCTAACCCCTTCCTCTAGATATTCCCCACTTTGTCCAGGGAGAGCCCTGACGCCCAGCCACTGGCAAAGGAGGCTGCCCAGAGGTTCCTCATTCTCCCGGGCCCTGCTCAGGCCTTCTAGCTCAGTCCTAGGAACCACCCCCCGCCCCTTCTGCTATATGTTGAGTCTAAATTCACATACTTCTGGGAGGTGGAGTGGGGTCTCCTTCTTTCCTGTCCCTTGGGGAGGAGGACCTAGAGCTGGCTGAGGGCCTGAGTAACTTGGTGTGGGAACCCAGGCTAGGTTTTCTAGCCTGGTGGTCAGGGCTGGCCCTCTAAACCTTGCGTTCCTGCCAGGATTCATCTTTGTCTTGGCACCTCACTGTGCTATTGCGAGCAGTCAGCGAGGGCAGGGGCGGGGTTAGAAGGGGCCCCGAAACCTGTACATTTGCCTGAAGAGAGCTCCATCCTGTGCTTTCTAGAAGGACCAGTATTGGATGCACTCCAAGTTGGCAGCTCACCTGAGCCTGCAAATCCTCACCAGGCAGCTGACATGGGTAGAGAGCCCAAGGCATCTGCTGCCTAGAGATTCAGTCAGCTTGTGGTTTGACTGTTTTCAAACTTTGTTCCCAGCGGTGTGTGTAGGAAAGTGGGGGAGGGACCTGATCCCTGCCTGCCCCTACCCTCCTGAGCCAGTCCCGTCACCTCATTCTTCTAGGCTCCGTCTTGCACTGCCTGTATGCACAAAGATGTGTGTTTTTTCCAGTGGACATGAGCAAACTCGGGTCCAGAGAAGGCAAGTGGCCTGTTGGGGTCACACAGCCCATCACACCACTGCTAGCCACCTTTACCTACTTCTTACACCGGTCGTGGCATCTGTGACACATCTACTTAGCTTCTAGTACCCATCACTCCTGCCCTACACTGGCCGTGGCTCCAGGAAAAAGGCCTCTGTCTGGTTGTAGGTCTGCCCTTTTCAAGATCCCAAGTTCCCAAGCAGCTGGGCAGTACCCTCTGCTGGTTGTGGCTGGGAACGCAAGGGCATGTTCTCAACATGTGCCTGCCTATCCGTACACTGTGTCCTGGGTGCATGGTTCAGGGGTCCCCACTGCGGCCTGAGACGGATGCTTTCCCGCAAAGGCGTGCAGTGCTCTCAGGACATCTCAGCAGGCAGCTAGGAGTCCCTGCTCCATTTTACACCTGGAGAAACAGGTGCTATGTGACAGGTTTCCCCACATTCACGTTTGCATCCTCCCCTGATGCCCCGGTTTTCCCGCCTTTCACTGTAAAATGTAGACCCTCCTCTGCTTACCCAGATGAAATGAAGGAGCATCCACTTACCCTACGGAGAGAGACGCTTTCTACTTACCCTGGCTCCTAGGACCACGGAGATTCTGGCACTTCCTCTCGAGCCCGTCTGGAATCCGCCAGATCTCTCTCCTTTCTTCCCACCCCCTCCCTCCTCATCACCCCTCTGCCTCCTGTGACTTCCACTGGCTGCTCACTCAGCTGATCCATGGCCAAGATAATCAGATTATCTTGGGTCCAGAATAATCTATTCCATATGGCTTGCCAACTCAGTGGCTCCAGGAGCCAGAGGTGTGAGGAGAGGGGGTGATCTCAGTTGGAAGGGGTGCCCTGGGAGCCTGGGGGTGTAGCTGGGAGGCAGCTGGAGAAGGAGGGAGGTGGAGGAGGAGTTCGGAACCTCTGTGCTGGGCCCTCTGACTGCTCTGGGCTCCAGGTGGCCTCAGCCTCCTCTCTGGCCCAAGCACATCCTCATCCATTCATGACCCAGGGGTGCTTAGGACCCATGGTGGGGGGCCAGGCACTTCCCAGTGCCTTCTCCACTCTCTGCATTGGAGGGTGTTCACCATAGGACACTTTCTCAAAAGTAACCGAGTTTCCTAATTCTGGGGAGATTTCACTTTTCAGACCCAGACCCTCTGGCTCCATCCTCAGGGATTCTGGGTCAGCAGGTCCAGGATGGCCCTGGAAACCTTTTTTTTTTTAATCTCCACAGGTCTCTGTGACATAGAGCAAGGTTCCATTGGGACGTGAGGACTCCAGGGCATTGCTCCTACCCTGGCACCCCCACTCTCAGGGCAGCCCTCCAGGAGGTAAGGAGCCACTCTAGTCCTCCCGAGGAGACGGGAGGGGGAAGGGGGGCAGCACAAGGCTGTGGCCCGAGACATGGCCAAACGGACCCCAGCTCTGCCCCTTCTAGCCATGTGACATAGGACAACCTCTCACCACTCCAGTTCCTCATCTACAAAGTGGGTCAGCAACACCCACATCACAGTATGGTTGTGAGTTGTGTGACCCAGCCAGGCTCCGACACAGTGCCAGGCCCCAGGTGACAGCAGCAAACATGCACGTGGGCACTGCCTCAAGCGTGTCTCTGCGGGATGATTTGATCCTTGCAGCTTCGGCACAGTAGGCATTACCGTGGCACAGAAGCAGAAGCTGGGGCCCAGGGACAGAGAGTGAGTGACACAGATAGTTTAGGGCAGGACAGGGATTTTAACCCACATGGGCCACACTCCAGAGGGGTGTCCTAGGCTGTCTGAAGGTGGGGACTTTGTAAATAATAGTCACTCTCCTGAAAGGGCTTGCTTCTCCGGATGGTGCGAGGTGTGGCAGGAAGACCCCTGGCAGTAGGGTACCCCCAAATTCGGAGCTTCCCAGGGACTGCGCCTGCTGATGGTAGGCAGGCTGGCTTAGAAGAGCTGCTTCCTTCTCCGGGGGACTCTGGCTCCGGAGGGGACAGGGATTAGGGGCTGCAAGGGGAGTATTGACATAGCACCTTTGATTAGCACTCCTGTGTCAGAGGGGCTGGCCGGGAAATGAGGGCACTGGGGCTGGGAGGTGGAAGGGGGGCAGCGCCCAGGACCCGGGCTTCACCTGAGGAAGCTGGCCGGTTCCTAGCGGGAAGGCTGAGGCCCGGGCCCCAGCCTAGGAGGGTGCTGCCCTGTCCTGCCTGTCCCCTACTGCGGCCAGGGACCCCATGGAACTCTCACCTCTGCTCAGTGGGGCTGCCCCCAGGCCTCATTTCCCAGCTTTACACTTTGGCAGGAGAAGGCAGGCTCAGGCAGGGGAACAGGAGCCACTGACTCGGCACTTGTCAAAACACAGGCCCCCAAAGTGTGAAGTCCTTACCCCAGCAGGAGGGCGTGTGGGCCCTGCTGCCCTGGAGAACTCATTAACTGGGGTTGCTCCCAAATGAACCTACCAGAGAGGCTCATGATAAGGAGATCAAAGATGAGAGAGGCATGGGGAAAGGGAAGATGGAGGCTGGCTGGTGGAAGGTGGTAGGATGCAGGCTCCAGGTTGGGGGTCCCTCTTCTGCCCCCACTTGGCTCCATCAGGCCCACTGACCATAGCCTTTGCACAGCCAGTGCCCAGAGAACTCAGAGGGAGGGACTCCTATGTGGCATCTCCAATGTGTCAGCTTTTAGGGCTGAAGACTCTGCCTCTTTCATGCCATTTTTGTGGGCTCTTGGTTTCCACACTCACCCCTGGGTCTTTTTAACCCTTCCTCAGCCCTGCCACCAGAGACCCTCTTATCATACAGCACTTATGGTGCCCTGTTCTGCTCCAGATCTCTTGGTAGCTCCTGTGTAAGCACTCAGTGAATGTCAACTATTAGGCTCCAGATTTGAGAATTCTCAGGGGCCAGAACTGTTTTCAGGATACCCAGTCTGCCTCTTACACATATGGCCTCTTGTCCAAGTATGTCTAGTTGATTTTGTACTTAATAAAATACAAATTCACTTCGGAGCAAGGTTGCCAAATAAACTAGTGGAAATCACAATCATGTGGGAATTGGAGGGATTTTTTGGTATTCAGAAAGCTGCCAGCCAGACGGCCAGACCCTCTGAGGTTTCACCCCTCCTGTCTGTCCAGCCTTTATACACACCCCTCCCGTGCTGTGCACAACACAGTCTACCAAGTCTCAATCACTTGTTTCCTCCAATCCAGTGGGATCGAAGGGGCCCAGTCACTGGGCTCTAATACTAGGTTCTTGGCTTGAATCTGGAGCCAGGGTCTAGAAGGGGGACCATCCTTGGCTTCCCCCTTCTTCCAGGGGTGGCTTGGCACTGCCTCTCCTGGATGTGATGATGGGACAGACTGCAGACAGCGCAGTACAGAAGGTGTTAGAGGAGGTCAAGGGCATAGCAGATAACAATGGGAGTGCGCAGAGATGCCCAGGGAGAACGTACCAAGCCAGTTGGCCTTCTTTCCTACAAACCAGCTCACCCATCAGTCTCACGGGCTGGAAGCTGTGGAAGATGCAAAACATAAGACCCCCCAGCATAAAAGAGACCCTAGATACCACTTCTCATGAAGACGTCAAGCCAGACACCAGGTACTACACAGTCCAGCTGGAGAGCATTACACACAAAGTAGCCATTAGGAAGGTGCGTACTCCAACCCAAGGGATCAGGTAGGCAATGTAGATTCTCTGAGATTTTCTATGTGACAATCATGTTGTCTACAGAGTTTTATTCCTTTCCAATCCATATGCCTTTTATTTGTTTTTTCTTATTGTACAAGCTAGACCCTCCAGAACAATGCTGAATAGGCATATGCGTAGGAGCAGACATCCTTACCTTCTTATTAGGGGGAAAGTTTTCAGTCTTTCACTATTTAATACGATGTTGTCTGTATGTTCTTTATAGATGCCTTTTACCAGGATGAGAAAGTTCCCCTCTATTCCTAGTTTGCTGAGAATTTTTATCATGAAGGGTGCTGAATTTTGTCAAATGTTTTTTTCTGTGTAATTTCCAGTCACATTTCATTGGCGGAGCCTGTTATACCTGCCCCAAAGTGGCAGAACACCAGGCAGAGGCCAGTAGTGGCAGCTATGGCAATAGGCCAAGCCCCTGATCCTGCCAGGCTGAGGGTGTCCTGCAGGGCAGCAGGCTCACCCCTCCCTGGGCTCAGATGGTCCAGCAACCTGACCAGATTTGTCCAGCTTGTTGGATGTGCCTGGGACAGCTCCCTCAGTGTTCCCCCCACTCACCTCCACCAGGGAAGAGTGCAGCCCAGGACCAGCCTGCCTCAGGAGAGTGGATCACTGTTCCTCTCACCTCTAGCAGGAATCATAGCCTCACCCCCGGTCTCTAGCTGATTCTAAAGACCTGGCTGCAACATGCCCCTGGGATCCCGTTATACAAATTGGAAACGAAGGGGCAAGGGAATTGAATTATTTGCTAAGGTCCCCAACTGGTTGAAAGCAGCCCCAAACGCAGGTACTGGACTTCCAGCTCTCTGATCCTGCTTCCTTTAACCTGTTGAGCTGGCCCAACACCCGGGGCTGGGCGCGGGAGTGGGTGGAGGGGGGGGAGGGCCCGAGTGCCTGGCTCCGGTGCCCATACGTGGGCCCACCGGTGGCCAACCTGGTGCAGCCACCGGCCGGCACCTTCGCGCCACACTCCTCGGTTGGTTCAAAGGGTCAGGCCCCGCCCCCTCCAGGCCCCAAGCCCGCTTTGATGTGCTGATGCGGCCTGGAAGGGGCCACTTCACACCTTGGGCTCGGGATAAAGCGGTCCTCGGCGGCCGGTCCCCAGACGCGCCGCTGCTGCGCCCAGTCCT